AAAAACCACTCCAGAGCACAAAATCCACTAGCAAAACAAACAAGCAGCAATATTAGTTACATCTAAGCACTATAAAATGTCTAACCTGTTTTTTTCCTAGCAGTTTGGACTGGAAAAGTGTATTTAGATGTCAGTTAACTTAGCACAACCTGCTTTTCTAGCGGGGAGAGTAATTTCAGTACTATATTATATATATATAACCTAATGGTGTGTAATTTCCCATTTGCACGCTCTGTGGAAGCATGACTTCTCAATTGTGAAGCTGTCAGATGCTGAAAATATCACTGGCAGGCACAAAAGGAAACTACTGCCCCAGTGATGTCTCTTGTGACTGCTTTTGATCATACCCATTCACCTTTTGTAACCTCATCATCACATCAATCACATTTCACACGTACAGAGGGTCAAAATATAAATTGCCTTGCTCTGTCAGGCAAGTTTGGCTCACCTGGTCTGTCTTCCCTGCTGGAGACACCACAGACACTTCCTGCAGTGGATGTGTGATCGTCACACAGTCAGAAATGCTGAAACTGCCTTCAGTGGGAATCACCCAGGATTCTGACTGTGTCAGATTATCACCCTACAGCTGCTTGAAACCAACATAAAATAACAATGCCATAGAAGAGAAGGGTTGCATTCCCTTCATCTCCCACCACAGTACAAATCATGATTCTCATTCTGATGGCACTGCCAGCTCTTGTGGACCTACAGCAAATGCCAACAGAGTGAGAGACCTTTCTAGAAGTTCATAAAGACAGGACCAACTGAGTGATTCCTTTACATAAAATTTGTATTTCTAACTTACTTGCTGCAACTACTCTTTTCAATGTACTTACATTAAAATTAGTTCTTCTTGGAATGCTTTATTTTCTGAAGGAAGGTTAAATTTTCTGAAAAAAGCTGAACTTTCTTGTGGTCCAGCTTATACACTGGGTTATAAGCAAAGCCTAGTTTTAATTTCTCACTAAACTGTAAATCTAATTGCCCAGTAAACTTCAGAGCTACACTCAGTTATGAGAGGCACTCATCAGGGAAGATGGCAGCAATACTAAAGATGGAAAATAAACAGCTCTATTAACAGCACAGGGAATAATCCAGAAACCAAAGAGTTGGGAGAGAAAATTAAAAGGATTAAAATGAGTCTATTTTGCTGTGAAGTAATTATGAGGGGAAAGGAATTATACAATTCTCCATATGGTTTTGCTTCATTCTGTCCTCAGGGGAATTATGTCCCCATTGTAAAGTTAAAATGGTTTCATAAGAGAAACATACAGAAGTGGGTAATTTGTCCCTGTTTTTAAAGACAGTTTTCCCTCCTTTCACTGCAAAGAGCAGCTTCAGATAGGAAGACCCCCATCAGCCTCCTCTGATTCTCTAGAGAGAAAATGTGACTGTTCAGAATGCAGTCCAAACAAACAACACTAGAAGCTACTGGAATCTGACACATTTTTAACACTTGGCTCCAAAATTGAGATATCACAGACATGTAAACTTCAATGCTACTAATTTCTATTGATATTATTTTTTATTTTTTAATTTTAAAATTTCTTTTCTTCTTCCTGTACACATGCTCTGAGTCCTTCTGGCAGACCCAGAATGAACTGAATGCACAACAACAAAATCATGACAGTAAAAAAAAACTTAGAGCAGATACTACCTTATTTTCCAATGCAAGCTAAAATTACTGCCAGAATCACCTTTTTAAAGTAAATGTAGATATTAAAGTAACTTTTCAGGATGTGAGAGACTGTGTATTTTTTTTTTTCAGAGGAGATTTAATTTTATTTTTTTTCCAAAAGTAATTCTAACCCCACTGATATATCAGTGGGAAAAGTCTTCTGTGTCCTGAAGTACTGCAAGGTGCACAGAATCAGAATATCATAAAGGATATCAGTGCCCCAGTGCTGGAGAACACCTGGGTACCATTGTCTTCTTACGTTTATACACTTGGAAGGGTTATTTGAGAAATAAACAGTCCTTGCAGGTAGAACTGGAGCTGAGTAATTCTCCTTCTCTAACTGTGGATCTGGACATGTTCTGAGAGTCTGCTAGGATGCTCCTTCTTTTACACCCTTGCTTTGTTTCCAAGATCACTTTTCATTCAATTTCTTTAAAATTTCCTCTTCCCAGAAAATCTGCCTCCTATTTGAATACCGTCCCTCACTTCCCTTGAGATCTAAAATAGACCCCAAAGAGTCATTGTTTTACTATTGCGCTTTCAAAATCACTCTCCTGTGAGATTAGGGATAGATAAACTCAATGCCATTAAATTTCTATCTGTCCTGAGTCAGGAACATGAAACTCTTATTCTGCATTTAGAATATTACTAGATGAACAACAATTAAGTTTTTGTGAGCTATATAAATGTGGGCACTGCACTAAAAAGCTAAATGCACCTTAAACATCACATAGGTACACCAGAGAGCTGCAATGCTTTAAAACTCAAAATTACAAACTATGCAATGCTCAGTGTAAGGACAAACATACTACTGTTTGTTTTCAGACTACTGAAAAGCAATTTAAAGAGCACTTGGTGACTTTCTGGCATAAAAGTCATAAAATTTTCAAATAAATGGATTAATCAAGCAATTGGCCATACGGCTGCTTTTTAATGAGGCATTTCACACAGGGCATTATTTGACAGGATTCACAGACAGTAATAAATGTCTCCTAGTGAACTTAAATAATGGGCAGAAGGTTCCAAAGGGCAAAGGCTGTCAGTTTTACTCAAGTTGGGTGCCTAGCAATTCCTCCAGCACGCCCTTGCTGTCCCTATCTGCACTGACAGCTGCACTTCCTGTCCCTGCGTCTGTCCATAAGACACTCAGGAAGGAAGGTTTATATCTTTGCATGTTTCCCATGAAACTTTCATGGCTAATTCCTGGAGCACTGAGTCAGACTGACCATCCACAAACTCTCCACCCTCCCCCAATCCAAATTTCTATTTGTTCTCCCTACTTTTTCTCCTAATTTCTCATTGTTATGGGCCTTTTCCTCATTTAAACTGCATTTTTTTTTAACATATTAACCAATTCTAGCAATATTTTAAAATACAGGCTAGTATCACTGCTTTGTTTTAAACAGTTACTAAAATTTGCATCAATTACTCTAAGTAAAATATTACAAAAATCACCAAAAATATTCTGGTCTTTTTGGGGGGCAGCGTGCGTTTGTTACACTGCTACAACTGGATGCACTCATTCACTACAGTCATTAAAATGGGGTTTCTTGTAAATTTCAAATATACTGTGGATGAAATTGGCTTATGTCTCATCCAGCTTAATTTAATTCTCTTAAAATCTTCCTGTACTGTTTAAAATATAAATTGCTTCAGATGTCATTTGCCTCAGACTGATTTGAAACAGCCTGGCAAACCTACTTGAATCAAGTTTCTCCTGGATCTATTGCAGTGGAGAAATTGCTTTAAAAAGCAAGAGCTTTTCTTCAAACTCGAGCTATTGATCAGAATTAACTTATTCAACTTTAGGACGGCTTCCTTTCCAAGAAACGTTTTGGAAAACGTTTGGAGCTTAAAATACCTCAGACTGAGATTATGGCAACCAAATATTAGCTGTATTAATCATACAAGTATAGTCATTGTCCCGCTGTGTCAAATTTGTAGAGAAAAAGAAGTTTTGCAGCACTCTTCGCTGGACTTTGAATCTAAACATCTGACTACTACTGCATCTAAAGAAAGGCCACCAGCTGCTTTCGGCAGCTGAAGGAAAAAGAATTACTCAGTTAAAACCGAAAGTCTGTTGCAAAGTACTCACCAAACTCCTAGCAACAGTTCTTGAAGAAAGAGGGAATTCCTGAATCAGAGCTGAATATGATCCTCCCCTCCTAATTCACGTTGCAGGGGTGTGGTGTAAAGCTCCAAAGGCAGGGAGGGCTGCAACCTGATCCTGCCAGAGGAGTAATCCCTCCTGCCGGAGCAGCAATCCCTCCTGCCGGGGCAGCAATCCCTCCTGCCGGAGGAGTAATCCCTCCTGCCGGAGGAGCGGTCCCTCCTGCCGGAGGAACAATCCCTCCTGCCGGAGGAACAATCCCTCCTGCCTGCCTTCTCTCGGCTCGCCGCCGCTCGGGCGTATTGCGGGGCTGGCTCCGGGTAGAAGTCNCCTGATGGGAGCAAGGAGCAGGTCAGTGGCAGGCCCTGCACGGCTCCAGGCAGCCCTGGTGTGGTCAGGCTGGGGAAAGAGCCACTCTGAGCAACAGCTAACTCACAGATTTGGTCACATTAAATCCCATTTATTTTCCCTGCTCCTTCCAATATTGCTGCCTGTTTGATTGTTCTATTTCTGTCACCTGGCCTAAAACAAACCAAAACCCAATATTGTTTTACCATTTTCTCTGCTACCTAACTAACTTCATGATGCTTTTTAGCAGCTACTTAATAACATAATAATAACATAATCCTAACTTCATGATGCTTTTTAGCAGCTACTTAATAACATAATAATAACATAATCATAATAACAGGTATGTTTTCCAGGACATTGATGACTGCTTCAATAGGAGAAAAAGCAATTACCTTTTTACTGAATTCAGCTTCTGGAGTTTTACCCTAACTTCCACAGAGTTAAGATTTATCTTCCATGTCTAAATAACAGTAACGCCAGAGCTAGGGGTTTGTTTGTTTATGTACTTCATCTTTTGACTCTTGTGTTGGAAAAATAAATTGTTCTTATTTTTACTGAAGATGGCCAAGTTAAAGCCATAAAAAACTAGCAGACAGATCCAAAATACCTTGCAAAACCTTTTTTCTGCCCTTCCTTGGTGAATTCAGCTGTCAGTCTCCCTGACAAAACCTAGAACAGGCTTTCCTGCAGTTGTTTCAGGGCAAGAGCGATTCTGTGGAGCTGAGAAGAGCTGTTCAGTAAGCTCAGTCCCTCAAAGCACTTTTACTATTTCACAACCTCAAATGTGCAATGTCCCAGGCACCGTGAGACATCTGCTGCGCTACGTCACACGGACACGGCGTCAGGAACGCTGTAACCTCGCTACACACAACATTTCATCAGCTGTGCAGCTCCCACCTCTGCTGCGCTGCTCAAGCCATTCATGTACAAACAAACAAAGCTGGCAAACCAACTTTCACTTACTGGGTTAGTTGCAACTAATTCCTGGTTGTTGGCGACGGCTGTCAGTGAAATTATTGTTACAACAGAGTTGCAAACAAAAGAGAAAAACAGATTTTTATGCAGGGTAATCCTTTGGCAACTCAAGCTCCTAGAAGAGAGAAACAAGAACAAATGAGTGTACTTGGGGACAACTCTCACATTTTGAAATGCTAGAGCTCTTGATTTTACTAACAAGTCTTATATCAATCCTTTGTTCAGGTCCAGAGCAGATTTAATACACCAAAAGGAAGAAAGAAAGAAAGAAAGTGCATTTAGATCCAATACATTTATAGTGAACAACTTGCTTTTTAGTGGCCAGATGAAAATTATTTAAATGCTGACAATAATTTTAAGAAGATTTACATTCCTTTTGGTTAGTATCTGAAGAATTTCCCAATTACCTATCACACCTGTGCTTGCTGAAGCTGTCTTACCATCTTTCCATTTACCCAAATCTGTTCAGATCTTTTGAGGGTAACTCCTATTACTCATATCCTTGTCATTTTTCTTCCTTCAGCCTAAAGCTAGAGAAATATCTAAGCAAAATAATGCAAATCTCCCCCTGACTTTTGTGTATAACTAAGTTATAGAACGTAATTATGAAATCCTTAAAGAAATGCATTTAACTGTGTTAATTTCTAAGGTTTGCTTTTAATTTTGCAAGAAAAAAGAGAGAATGTCTTTGGAAGGGTTTTTTTTTAAAAAAAACACCTAGGGATTCAACTGTATCAAAGAATGTTGGACTTGGGTGCATAAACTTTCTGGTTTTCTGCCATTCTAGAGGAAGCAGGAATAACTTTGTGTATTCCAAGAGGAGGGACTGCTTCTCATTCAAGTTTTTCCCAGTGAACTCCTGGGTTGCTTCAGAGAGAGCATCGACTGAAGCCTCTGCTGCAGAGTCCGTGCCCTATACCCACACCTGCCTGTCTCCAGTTAATGGCCAGAGAGGTGGAGTGCAGCTGACTGACACTTTGTAATAACCAACTGGGGGAAGAAAATCTACCACTTACACACTTGCCACTGAGAGAAATCAGAAATGCACTCAGAAGCGCAGCAGGGGACATGTCTAAGCTGTCACCCAAGGGAAAAATAAAAAAAAAAATCCAAGTTTTCTGGCCTCTTCAAATAGCATGACTGGAAGAAAAGATAAAGGAGGTACACTGGTGATTCATTTTTAATTTGAGAGGATAGAAGGGAGACCTTTACATTTTTTCAGAGAAATGCAGATATGGAATCTTCACAAAGGCTGGAGGATTACATTGAAAACTGCTGACTGGTGAAACAACAATCAAAGTGATCCAAAGGGAAAAAAGGACAGCCCCATAAGCCAGGCTATAGGGCACAGCTTGGCTGCATCCTCTGCAGCTCTCACAAGGGCAGCGTACTGAGCACCCACAGATCCCTGGACTGAGTTCACAGTACACACTGTGCAAGCCCTGAGACAGTCCATGACACTAAAAGAGCCCACGGCACTAAAAAACAGGGGAAAGAAACTCCACCAGAAACCAGTGCTGCCATTTACCAGGGACCTACAGGAAACTTTGGTTGCCACTATCATCTGGCTGAAGAAAATACCAAAGAAAAAGTCTCCAAGGGTTGCATATGAATTTGAGGAAAAAATATATTCCATTAGGCTCTTTAAGATTTTATTTGAGTCTTGTTTTAATGCCCCAAGCAGTTAATAAACTTTAATTATTATAACATGCAGGGTCTTACATGATTTGAAAATGTATTTTTATATGTTTTTCCCCTGTATGGTTTACATATGAAAAGAGAGACAATACTAGATTCCAGCAAAGGGCTTTGTGTAAACAAGTCCTGAAAAACTCTGGAATTTTGTCTGCTTATTGTTAAGACTCAGGGCTCAGGCAAGGAAGAGCACGTACAGCTAATGGGGCCATCTCTCCGGGTCATCCCACAGCTGTTCCTGTTGAATATTCAAACACACCCATCCCCACCCACCTCCACCCATGCATGAAAGGATTGAAAGGATCACCGGACAAGGAACAGAAAGCAAGACTGATGACATTTAAAAACTAAGATTGTTTTTCGTAATAAAAAGATTTTTCCTAAGCTTCCCCACCCTCCCTCTTCTGTTTTCCTTCCTATATTCTTTTTTTCTTAATGACATAATCTCCTTTATCACTTAATTCTCATATTTATGATCTAAGTACATTTGAATGACCAACCCCTCAATTAAACCATGTGCAGTAAAATAAAAACAGACTTCCTACTAAGTTATCTATTTCCCCTCTTTTTTCAACTCCTATATATCTTGGGAATTAGGGAAAAATTAATTTCTCCAATATTTCTCCAGAAAAAAAAAGGGTGACATTTTCAAAAGCCACTAAGTGGGTTAGAGATCTAAGTTTTTAAGGTATTTCAATACTGCAAAACTCAACCAGTGAGATCCATGTATGTATCCTAAGGAGAATCATCTGTTCAGATGACATTAATGGAGTGACTTAGGCAGCTCCTGTCTCCAAAACAATCCAATCATCAGTGCTTCGCCCACTCTCTCCTTAACACAGTGCTGCTCTCCTCTGTGAATGTTGTCATGGGATTTGACATGGCACTTGATCAACAACTCCTTTATTTCAGGTGAGTTTGTTTGGTTTTGTCTTTTTTTTGCTGCTTCAGTTTTTGTTGGGAGGGGTGGGGGCCATCTTTGAAACCACAGATCTCCTTCATCCTGAATCACTGCTTTTTAGTATTCTCTTGCCTCATTTTTTGTTCTTTATGAAAACCATACAATTATTTAAACATTTGCAACATGTGCATGATGTCCAGTATGTAACAGAATGAGAAAGCAGAGACACTGCAAGAAGTCATTTTTATGTCTCATAGATGAGTTTTCAGAGACATTCAAAGTTCCAAGTTTATGACCCATTTCATTCTGTTAAACCAAGAACTCCAATGCACTTGGGGAACACAAGTCACAAGCTTGACAAGTAATTCCAAGGAGAAAATTTTCTGAAGAAAAACCAAAATTTAAAATGCAAACATAAAATGCAGAAAAATTCCAACCCCAAACAGTTGATATTTCCTTTGGGGAAAAGTTCCAAATTTCTAGTCAAATCTAAAGATATCCTAACGATCAGAAATCCAAAAATCGTTGTCTGGAAATGGTCAGTTGTCAGTTTTGGAAAATGTTTTGGAAAGGACAAATTCAAAGACACCCCCCACAACAGGAAAAAAAAAAAAGTCCACCTGTTAAAGCTATGAATAATTATCCAAGCCTTAGCCGATACATAATACATCCTGGTATTAATCTAGGTCCTTAAATACCCTTCTGCTACTAAAAATACTTTAGAGGAACTGTACATCCCAAGAGAACAGCTTGCAGAGGACTTTCTTTAGCTTCCTTTGAATTTTGTAATTTCCTTTTATATCCCAACATAACCACAGTCTAGAAAATGTGGTTTGTGGGTCTGGATTCATTCCATGTGGTTCTCTGAGGAAGGATGATCCTGGTCCCAGAGAAGAAAATCCCTGAATGGTTCAACAAACATGACACAGGATGGCAGCACAGCAGATCACCTGCTTTTGCACTAAGTGCCACAAATAAAGATGTCATTACTTTGGTTTTCATATTATGGTATAGGAAAATCACACTTGATACTCTGTGAACTTAGAAAATAATTTCCTACTCCAAATCTTTCTCTTTTCCTGTGTGTTAAAGCAGTTTTTCTGTCACATTAGATATTTAGACTGCTAAACTTTCTGACATTTACTGCAACAGCCCTGACCTTTTTTACACAAAATCAAAGTTATAAGGACTGAGAGCCATTTCACACAGTGAGTTTCTGGAAGGGAAGTGAATTTGGAAAGGAGAAGCTTTGTTTTTACAGATCATACAAAACTAAATTGATTGAAAAACAATTATATGCATTTTTTTCACAAAATGAGATCAGAAAAAGCTGAAATGTCATCTTGAATGTAGCCTTCCTTTTAAAATCCAGTAAAATTGAAACACTCCTGTTTGTTGGGGATTTGCAGAAATGCTGGGGAAGTAATGCACAGCTAAAGTGGAAAATGGAAATACTCTTTTCAGCCAGATATGACTAAAAAGAACTTTTTTTTTAATCAGCTATCAGCTGCCTCCACCTAATCAAAGCCCACAGCATGAGAAAAGGAGTACCCAATGCCAGTGTATCTGCTATTCCTATTTAAATGTCAGGAGGAAGTGGAAGCTGGAGTGAGGCAGCAGGGCACAGGGGCAGAAGTAGGTGAGTGTGAGGGGCAGATGTGCATTGCCAAGGAGAAGGTGTTTATGAAATGATTAAACCAGGCTGACTAGGGGAGCCCACGCTAGGCAGAGCAGCAGCTGGCACAGGGAACAGTTTGTCTTTCTCAGCTCTGCTCATGTGGTAACACTCCTGGGTTCACCTTTCCAGCAGGCCTCAGCAGCTTCTTAAAGGAAAAGAAAAAGAACAGGAGTCTTTCATAGGGAAGGAAAGAAAGTTCACCAAATATGAAGTATTAAGACTAATTTTAAAAGGCCTGTGTATTATTATGAGGTGTTGGGACAGCAATGATACACTGCTCAATCTTCCATTCAAGAAGGTGACATAATAACTGTGAGTCAGCAGATGACAGCCTGTCTGTCATACACAATACTGTGAATCAAACAATGGGATTATTTTTATTATTTCCATTCTACTCTCTTAGCCTTACTTCCATTACAGTCGTTGTATTTTGTGAGTACCACTTTGGAATGTTACTGTACCTATCAAATATCATCACTATTTTGGTTTTCACTTGCTCTTTAGTTCAGTTGATACTTGGCATAACACAGAATCATAGAACATCCGGACTTGGAAGAGACCCACAAGGATCACTGAGTCCAATTCCTAGTATGAATACTTTATCATGTATTATACATATAGTATGAATAGTTTATCATCAAACAAATCCAGACATCACAAACCCAAAATGAACAAACATTTTTCCATTTCCTATTTTCAATATATCCTACAGTTTTTGGGTTGCAGGTTTTTGATTTTAGATTTCTGAGAAATGAAAGCTCCATTTTTGTTACAATATAGAGTCCAATAGAAAACCTATATACTGGCTTTCTTCACCTTCCTGCTCTAATTTCATTTGGATGGCTGGTGTTCCAAAGCACTGAAACCAGGGTTATGGCAACCACTGGGATTTGATGAAGGATTTTAGATATACTTACTTAAAATAAAAGAATATGCCAAGAGAAATCAGAAGTGATGCAATTGAAAGACCGTGTCCGATGATGGCCAAGTAATACAAGTTCAGAGCAGTCTGCAACACAAAAACAAAGCCAAGTGATTCAGACAGAGCTACTGCTGATAAAGCACATTTTTATGTCTCTTCTTGCAGTTAAAGTGATTATAATACTGATAAGAAAAATAAAGAACACCCCAAACCATTTCAGGTAATGATGGAACAAGTCCAGAATCCTGCCAAACAACATCCTACTAAAACCTCTCTCCATAGGGAACACAGCAGATTAATTGAAGCAATCACTAAAATTTACATCTTACCAGTTAAAACATCAAGTTTCCAATAAACAGTGCTGTGGTTTTTTTCTGAGTATTTATATGAATCTGGCTATTTAGGCTCCTGTACAAGGTGCATTGCTGTCTGAGGCTTGACTCCTCTCTTAACACAACTCCCAAGTAAAGCATGCGCTTCCTGTATGAATTGATGTAATTTTTTCCCCACAGATTTTTTTTCTCAGCATTTAAAAATACTTCCTTCAAAGTGAGCTATGATTATGGTACTGGAAATTCAGTTTTTATTGAGCATTTCAGGAAGGGCATAAAAAAATTAACAATGACTCAAAAACAGTGAAGACTATTATGTTAAACAGTCATAATTATGTTTCAATATTATATTGTGTTAAATAAGCCTACTGCCAATTATGGAATTATGAAAATCTGGGTAGATACAAAAGGTAAAAAAAAAAGGAACTGGTGATTTAATATTTGGAATATGTTCATGTTATCAATAATTCTTGTAGGTAATATATTAACTAACTAATTAGTTTTATCAGAAAGTAACAAACCTCTGCTTTCAGCCATGGAATATGTCTTGAAAAAAACCCTTGCTGTATTAAATGTAAGGTTATCATTTGGCACATAAGGAAATGAAGATTTTCAGGTTGAACCTTATACTCTCACAATAAAGCACAACCAACTGGGTTCCATAAGGAGAGTTAGAGCACACAGCCAAATGCTCTCGTACTGCAAATTCTATCCCCTGAATTTATCATCCCAAGTTAGGACAGAGTAATTGCAGCTTGCTATGTATACTCACTCTGGAGATAATAAAAAAAGATTAAAGGTAAAGCTTTAAGTAGGTTGTAAGATGACATTGAATTGTGCTAGCAATTTCCAAATTATAATTATTTTTTAAAATGAGATAACATCCTTAAAAATACCCAAACAGCAAGGCAATAGGTATAAGTGGAACTTACTGTGAGATTTGGAAAGTGAAAAATGTGTGAGAAAAATCAAGTGTTACCCCAAAATGCTAAAATTTGAGATGTATAAATGACAACAGTCATTCTGTGACAGGTCCATATCCTGTATCACCCCCTCACTCAGGGACCAATCCAGGCAGAGGTGCATTTTAAGGATATAGAGACTGCCCCCCTATTTAGAATGGTCACAAAAGCATGGTACAGCAGGAAGCACTGCTGAGGGCAGTAACAATGAGAATTAGCAATGCACAGCAGCCACAGTTTCTGTGCAGTGTCTCACCCACCTTGCAAGCACTGTGAGGAGATAATGCTGCTGAGCATAACACACAACTGCAGCAAGCAGCAAGGCTCTCCTTGGAGCTGCTATTCCATACAACGGCTTCAGGTTTGTGACAGGGTTCAAATATGCTGGCTAAACAGCCTGAGGCAAACTACCTCATTATTAATAAACAGGGATCATCATAGATCTGCTCCTTTCTGAATAATATCCTCCATTTCCAGCCAAATATTAGCAAAAATCAATGAACTATGGCAATTCTACTCATAGAATTAAACTGCCACTAGCAAAATCAAAGTCTCATAATTTGAGAAAAAGCAGTAATAAAGTGTCTTATCATCTGTAACCATCTTTTTCACAATATGCTTTTTAGGTAAGTACCCTAAGGCATTCAACAGTGACGGTGCAGTCAGGTAGAAACTGTATTACAGGTCAGATTCCTTGACACAATCTGCTACTACTGAGCCCTTTAACATGAGGTCCAAATTAACTTACAGCCTGTCCCGGTCTGTGGTTTGTATTCCTGGTTCTTGGCAATTCACAATTTCAACTTATTGCTTCTTCCCATGACTGAATGTTTCATGAACATAAGGAGTATTAGTGGACATAGAGCTGGGGAATGGGGCAAAATAAGCAATTTTCCCATTGTATCCTCACATATCACAAAGTAACTCTAAAAGGTCATCTAGAGATTTTGGTTTTCTAAATCTTTTAATGGATGGGCATGTTCAAGATAAACTGAAGTCTATAAACTTAGCATCTATGCATAGACCCACACAAGTACAGAGCCTGCTTCTGATATACAGAAAACTGCTCAAAGCATTGTTGCATCAACTCTGCTGCCTTTTGAATTTGGAAACTTTTAAAGATTCTCAGTTCAGTTTCCTGACACGGGTACCATGCACTCTTTCCTCTCCTACCTTCACTTTTTCATGCGTGTAGATATTGCACTGGGTGTAGTTTGTCCACGTCCTGTTGCTTTCTGGGTGTCTGAACCAATTCCCATTTGGATCACAGATCTTTGTAACTTTTTCTGTAATCAAAGTTGATGGAAAGAAAAATAAAAGAAGAAAAGTGAAAGAAAAACACAACAGTCAGCACTGAAATTCTCTTTCCTGATGCCAAGTATTTAATAAAGATTGGCAAACAAATGACAGCTTTATTAATATGACTAGAGAGACTTTGCTTGTTACTATGAATTCTGAGAAACTTGAGGCCGTTGCTTTTGCTTGGCAAGGGCAACCGATGATGTGACTTTCCTTAAGAAAACAAATAGATTTTCCTCTCCCATCCATTAAGTATCAAAATACGTTGAACTAACTGTTAGAGAACTACCAGATGAAGTGACAAGAATGTTTAAATGGCTTGCTTAACATCCAACATGGAAACTGAAGCCTTATATCCTACCATTATAAATTAGTATTAGACAGGCAGGAAAAGAAACAGCAAAACTACTCGAGAACCAAACTGGAAAACTGCTGGAAACTGATTTTTATCATCAAATACAGGCATGAAAAGACCCTGGGAAATACAAAGAAATCCATGACATTTTCCACATGCTTACAAAGCTTAGCCCACAGAAACAGGAAGGGATTCAAAGTGGGAGAAACTCTTTGTCAACTTCAACAGTTAAATTGAGATAAAGGAGTAAATTGTATTTCTGCTTGTCTGTCAGAAAAGCTCATCTCTACAAGGAAAAAAGTGTGATCTAACTCCAATTCCTACTCCTAATCTACAGAATCCCTCAGGGACACAGTTCAGGAAAGAAAATAAGTAACTTGTCAGGTTTCTATGTGATAAAAGGAAAATGCAAATAATGGATCCTGAGTTTCTGAAATCCTGGAGCATTAATGACTTGAGTTAGGTGAACATGAGACATCAAGCCCCCAGACTCTCATTTCAGTGAGAAATATGCTGATGTAGAAGTCAATGCACTCATACCTGACGGGTTGAAATCCTGAAAGTAGTCAGGACAACGCTGCACCGACACGGTTCCGGCAGCAACATCACTCCAGCACAACCAGCCATCCCAGGTCCTGTTGCAGTAAGGACCTGCAAACAGATAGAGACCTGAGGATAAAACAACTCTTGCTTCAGAATAGTCTTTCTAAGGTAAGACATAGGACTGGGTTAGGCAGGTCTGCAGCAAAAAGATTTAGCAGTGGTTGATTAAAACTTCACTTAACAGAGATAGTTCCTTACACATACATTTCTTTGAACACATTTTAAAATCTTTTCTCATTCACTTTGAAATGGCCTACATCTACGACTTTCAAACCTCAGATCTAGAATATGGTAAGCAAAAACACCTAAATCAATTCATATGCAATAATGTACCTTAGCAAAGAAGCTCTTGCTTTCAAAGATGGTTTTCCTGAATTTATTTTTATTTTGTATGTATACCAAAATATAATGTACTTACGTTTGCTCATTCACAGAAAATACAGTGGTATCCCAGAAGCCATGAGAAGCCTGGCTGGGAGGTAGCTACAGCTGGTCTGCCTCAGGCTGGGCTAAGCCTGCAGCGTGGACAAACACCTCCCTAAGTGCCCCAGGAACAGGGAAGCCAGTGTCCCTCAAGAGCTTGTTCCAATGCCTCATTGCTCACACACATTTCAACATCTAAAATAAACCTCCCTTCAGAATGAGCTGGAGTTTTATAAACAGCTTCTTTCCCAAAAGGCACACAGAATGACTGTGTGCCTCTCTACAAATTTCAAGATGTTTTTATTATCTAGCTTCAGTTTTCTTTCAAAGTCTTAATAATGCCCCCATCTCAAAGGCTGCAGTTCTCCAACGTCATGTAGTTCCTCCTCATCTGAAGATTTTCCAATTTGTGCAGATCCTCCTGAAGCTGTGAGGCCCCCCTATGCTGTGAGCATAAGCTTACAATGCCTCATTTGTATCCATTGCTGACTTCCAGGCACTTAGTTCCTCCAAGGAATCATTTCAGAAGAGAAAAATCTCTTTGTAAAAACACAATCACCTTTCCTTGCCTCAATAACCATTCAGTATTCCCAGAAGCTACCGAGTGAATACAGCAACAGGTGGAGTTGCTGAAGTCAGCTCTGAGTGACTTAACAGGAAAAGTAATAACAATACCAGCACAACCCTCAGAGCAGGGAAAACTGTGTGGATTAAGATACTTAAAATTTTTAAAGGTAGATGTGACCAGGCAGACGGAGGTATAATAAGAGCATGAAATGAAATAAGGTTGTAAGATTATTTAGCCATGATTTTTAAATATAGATATCTATTTAAATTAACATTTTCTTATTTCATCAGAAGGAAAAGCTTTGTGTAATATCACAGGTGGTGCAATGGGCAGTTGGTATAACATATTACTTCATGCATCCCCAAGTGATGGTTATAAAAAATTGGGAAAATAATTGCTAGCAAGATAAGTAATTAACATAACTAAAGGACCCTGTATTACTGCAAAAATATCTGTTGACGACTTGCATTAGTAAAACCTCATGAGAAAACAATCTCTACCTTCTTTCTTGTGAATAGGGTCTTGCATAATCTTCTGGTAGCATTCATACTGCGCTGTCATGATTTTATTCCGTGTAACACTCAGCTGGGCAAAGTCCATTGAGGTGTTCTGATGTCCCTCAGCTGGAGTTGCACTGGCAAAGAACTAAGAGGAAAAACATTTCTCTCAGAAAATCATGTACAAGCTCCAACAAACCTTTTCAACATCAATCTTTTCAAATATCATACTTTAAATATTATTTTACTGAAAGAGTGATCTTCTAATCTTATTACTGACAACATGATTTTGTGTTTTTCTGGTTAATTTAGCAATTCTTACTACTGAATCTTGATAAATGTCTCCTGAATGAGCATGGGGTAGGAACAATTGGCAAGATTTGCAAATAAGAATGGGAACATGCATAGAAACACTCACACAGTCAGAGGTTTATTTTTCCAAACCTCAGTGAAATATATCAAAGTTTAGACTAAAGACATTTCAGTCAGGCCCAAAATGATCCTTTATGAAAAAAGACCTTTTTGTGCACTGAAACATTTAGCTTGTCCAGAGCTATTTGGTTTCTCTGAAGTTTGGTGAACCATAAAGTCAACCCTCAGAATAGAGAACATTATTGAAAAGAAAAGACATCCACTTTGACAGTTATTAAAATTAAAAATTGAAAAATCTTAGGAAGGTTGATCTTGACTAAAACCTGAACCTTTTAAGAGCATTTTTAATAGTAATTAAATATTTTATGGGAAGCTACTAAGCTTCACAGAAAAACCAAAGCCGCACATTGAACTACGGTACCACTGTTGTACATGGGATGAAATTAAGATGTCTGAGGATGTCTCTGAATCTCAGTTAGTTGTCTCCTCTTCCTGGGCTCTGCAGGGTACTGACTGTGTCACCTGTCCACTGCTACTGTTCTGAGCCAGCAGAGAATATGCTGGATTCAGCAGATAAATACTATTTGTGTAGCTTTGACAAAAGAATTTAATGGACAACAAAAGTAGATTAAGATAAGATAAATGTAGTCTCTGTTGTGCAGAAGCTACATTTGAACACAAGATTAGATCTTTCTGTGCTACCATATTAATAATTTCTATGGTACTCTGTACAGGGCTGTTAAAACTGGAATTGATTTTAAAAATTCATAAGACTCACCATAGTAACCAATAAGAAGAGCAGCAAAAATGTGATCCAGATTTTTGTCATTTTATATCTGATACAAACAATCTTATGCTGTAGAATGAACTCAAACTGCAATAGAAAAAAAAAAGCAAGCAATTAATGAAAGCCAAAACTGTTAAATATTTTCATATTTTATTTCTGAACAAAAACAAATGGATGGAGGTCCTCAACGTTTCTATTCATGCACAGTGATGCCATGTGAAATACCCAGGAATGCACAATATGGTGTCAAAACAAGGCACTCAGTTCCTCAGCACTGAACTTCAGCAGCAAGGTTTTCCTGCACTGCTGCCTCCACTGCCTCAAGCAGCACCTTCGAGGGTTTGTCCCTGGCAGGTGCCCAGTACCAACCCCACAGCAAATAGCCCTGAGACACAAACTGCACTTGGGGCCATCTCTGCTTTTGGGAGACACCAGCAAACTACAGGTCAGCTCCCTCAAATACACTCTGACTTTCAAACACACGCATTTATTTCCCCTTTTCTTCACACCTCCTGATATTTAATTTTGCCATTTCTGGAATAACTGATCTAGTGAGAAGCCATTTCATCCTTGACTTCCAGCTGTGCAAGGATAATAGTAGTAATGCAAGAATTCATTGTACTGCAGTACCCATAGTTCCTTTAGTTATCATTTGAAGAAAACCCAAATACCTAAGCCAGCTGTGACCACATTACACTGCAGACTCTTCTTGGAATTGATTCTTGAAGTGAAAAATTCACCCAAAGCATAAAATATATGGTTATTTATGAAGCATGTAGACCATCTATCTAGTGTAACCCTGCTGTGACAACTGCCTCAAAAGGAAGGAAAATGTCAAAGAGTTTTGTCTTTTAATATTTCAGTGCCCTGAAGTATCCCGAGATCATGGAAAAAGACCTCTGCATACTCAGTTTAGTTACTACAACTAAACCACATTTCCAAAATCCAAGTATCTCACTGCAGCAGCATTAATGAAGCTGTACTCAGCTAAAATAAAAGCAGTAACATGTGCCCGAGTTTAGCTCCTGGTACAGATGAATTCACTCCAACTCTCACACTGTGATTTAAGACACGATCCTTGCATAGCCAGAGTCCCTCACAGAGCGCATCCAGCTCAGAGACCCCACTGCCAGAGAATCCAGAGGGCTGTGGGTGCTGTACCCACACACAAACCTGCATCCTGACCACATTCCCCCTCACATCACACTCACTGTCATCTTTACAAGCTTTTCTTACCCAGCAGTGATGTGCTGTGGGAGAATGGGGGATGACAAACAACTGGCTGTACACTGACCAGCAGAGATGACAGTACAAAAAGTCCCTTTTTTAAAAAAACACACCTGTCTCAGTCACAAAAACCAAGCATTCAACATTTCTACTCTTCTGCTTTTATGATGGGACTGGGTCCTCCTACTACAACTACAGTACAATAAACAGCATCTTAACTATTAACTACATATTAACATATTAACTATTAAATATGAAATAGCTGCTGTTTATTGCATAGCCTGATGCAAAGACAGAAAATGTGTTGTAAAATCAGCTGGGGCTGTTTAACCCAGACTAAAGTTGTATCCATAATCTTCCTTCTATTTTTACCAGTGGCATTCAATCCTGGAACACTGATTGCTACAAATTGCACAGGTGAGGTTCTGAAGTTCAAATCATAAAGTGATTAGATAACTTTAAAAACCCTCATCTGTTAACTAAAGAAAAGTCTAAATATGTTTGTGCAGTGACTAAGGCTTGACAAAAAACAGATATATATCTAAATTAACAAAAGGGCAATATGAGCTCAATCCTGCATGAAAACTGGGGGCAACTATGATTAATTCAAACCTATCACATGTTTCATTCATTTACAGATGTGTCTGTTTTCCTAGGGGGAAAAAACCCTGGCCTTCTAAGGAAATTGGAATTAATAACTTACCGTAATGTAAGTCAACAATATTTTCTCTCCCAAGTATGACAAAGCACATCTGTGCAGGGTTAAAATCCACAAATGATGTGCATAGGACAAGCCAAGAGATGAAGCAAGTAAAAAATAGCAACCACAATTTAGTGTATGTATGTTTATCTATACATGTATACAAAAGTTCAAAATAATTTTCTCTGCAATAGTTCAAAAAATCCTTATGCTAAAACAAATGTTGGATGCAAGATTTAAAATGCATATTTTTATACTGCTCTCACTTCACCTTGCTTATTTTAAATTAATCTAGAAGATACAACATCATATAAACAAAGGCAGAAATTATCTGCTTTGATGTAGAGTCCAAGTTTACTTCTGTTTCACAGTATCAAAACTCATCCCTAAGCTCAGTTCCTTTAATGGTCCAAGTCTTTTCATACCAAGTAGTTCTGTAGACATTTCCTATCAACTGCTCCAGTGTCTGCTGCTAAATTATTCAGCCTTCCCAGGAGATAAAATGTTAAGTCAAGCCTATAATGCACTCTATGCTTTCCACTCATTTCTCTCAGCTGCTAACATATAGACAGAAGAAAACCCCAACCACCACCTTTTTCCAAACATCACTACTTATGGATTTAATTACAAAATGCAGGCTGAAGGTCATTCATCATGCCTTTTTGGACTGCAGGAAAGCATTTCTTGCATCACTACATGAATTCATTCACTCAACATTTATTCCAGTTAGCCTGGACAAGACACTTCCAAGGAAAATTAAGAACTTTCTTAGGGATAGACAGCAATATATTCCATTGACTGAGGCAGCAAGCCAGTACTGCTAAGAAGCTCAGGCTGCTTTTATTAATCATCTGCTCTGATGAGAAACAAACCAAACCTAATTCTCTGAAAGTTCTTCCCCTCTTAAAGCTGGGAGGTATTAGGCACACAAGAAATTAATAGTGAAAAGGGACAATTCTTAGGTTTCCTTAATAATGATGCTTCCCAAGTTGTTCTGCTATTTTAAGTCTGACAAGTCTACTGTGGGGCAGAGAAGAGAAATGTATTTGATTGAGATTAATCTGAGTGTCTTGAATGGATCCCTTGACTTCACTCTGTGACACACAGTATACAAAATTCACTCTGTGAATCTGCACAAAAGCCAGCAGGGCTGGCATTTACACAGCAGGTATTGACTGAAACAGAGTTGGTGTAGACAGCACTATAGCTACTGGCAGTCCTCTGGCTGAAGTATATTCCCACTAAAAGGGAACATCAGTGAGAAAAGAATGGGGAATTGTAATAGTAAATCAGATCTTCCAGATCTTTGAAATATCATTTTTATTTCTGGTGCGAGTTTGTGCATTTAGTGAAGACTGGGATAACTTAAACAAAACAACAACAAAAAAGGAGCTGCCATTAATGATACACCCAAGACACACATTGTGTTTGTCACTGATAGCAGTGACACCTACTGAAGAATGAGGAATTAAAAGGGAACTGCAAGCTGGACTTAGCTAAAATAGTTACTGCTATAGCTTTAGCAGATGTTCCCATTTCTCTTCCTCCCGCTTTCTCTACAGAGCCATCCTGCCTCATCAGCTGTTTCTACTTTTAACTTTTCCCCATCCTCCCAGGAGTAAGTGGCACCCTTGCTGAGCTCCAGACACTTCCCGTTTCAACCATACAGTAAAAGGGTTAAAAAAAGCAGTCATTAAAAAAGAAAAAAAATACCATTTTTTTGAACTTTAAAACCACGTTTAGTACAGAACAATGAACATAGGCAGCTTCCACCTCAAGCAGTTCTCAAATCTGACTTCAAGTGAGAATGCAACCCTGTGGGAGTGCGACAGGAGGGAGAGCCTACTTATGGCACTGCAGGCCCATCCAAAAATGCCCAAACATTTTTCACTGATTGGTAATCTTTGATTTGCCCAGAAGTCAACAGAACAACCATTCCCAATGACAACAAAGAGAAAGCCACAAAACTTGTGCTGTGTAAATTATATACCTTGCAGTGTGCTGTAACCTTGGAACACTGCAAGTAAACATGTTTGCTTACGGATATATAACCTTCATCTGAAAATGGGGTCAGAATGGGTATTTTCTTGACACTTTGTTACTCTGGTTCTTTTTGGAGGGTGGCATACAACTTGAAGTATTTAAAACCTCAGGCAATGCTTGGTTGTTTCAGCCCAAGGTAAAGGCAAAAACAACAAGTTGCAAAATGCCCAATACTTTTCAAAGTGTCCCTAACTTGATGTTCAAATGGAACTGTTAATAAAAAACTCCCTCAAACCAACAAAACCCAATAGCCAGTAGCCTCAAATGGAGTTACAGACAGAGCCTCCACTTGCATCTTCACTCACATAAACTTTCTGGGAAATACTTCTCTGAGTAAAAGAGTGGGAAAGCACCAGCCAAACAATAATACACACCAGATTCACTGAGTCCTGGACATGGACTGCAAAATGTCCACAGTTATATTAGAGAACAATGCAAGGCTGTTTGGAAATCTTCCTATTTGGGTAATCTGCCTTTTTTTTCTGAGGGAATCACTTCTGCCAGGATTTAAACAAACTGCTCAATGGTATCCCATAACTGCTCACAGCTGTATGTCTGGGAATTACTCCATCCTCTTAATAAGTATGGAGCTTGAAAGTAAAGGTAAATAAAATAATGCCACACAAACATTCTCTCTCTACATTTCTTTCCACGAGTTTCTCCTAGGTAGAAGTAGTGGCACAATGGAATTTCCTGTCTTCTTGAGGATTAAAATAAAGAAACACAGTGGCATATCTCAATTTGTCCCTGAGTTATTCTACAGCAGGTAGACAGGTTCCTTGTGCATGTGGTAGAAAGTGCATGCTCAGTAGGAGAAAGTCCTCACTGTTTAATTCCTGGGCAATGTGCTGTGTTGGTCCCATGGTACAGGTCTGTGCAAGTAGGAAATTAGGACTGGCTCACTAAGATGTTTCACATCTTGTATTCTCTTTATTAGCACACTTTTTGCTTTTGTTTTTGCATCACTCTGGCTGCATGTCAGAGGCCTTGCAGAGATTGCAGAACCATCTGCATATGAGATTATACAGATTAAATTACTCCTGGGTGATTCTTCCCATGAATAGCTTTTGGCAACTATTCAGGTAAGTTTTGTCACCTGCACCCAACAGAAATTACT